TGACTTTTTCTCTTGTTTATAGATTTTTACATAATCAAATACTGTTATTTTATAGTCAGACTTTTCTATATTTCATTCCCTTAGTTTGTGCTTCGAGTAAACTTAGCAGCGAGAATGTCTTCATTGTTATACAAAAAACATATCGAAAACCTCCACTATTTATTCATTTATGAACCATACATACTCAGTAAATGCACTCTATCTCCTCTCAGTTTCTCTGAGACTCTGACGTCACAGTCAGAGAGAATCTGACTCCAGTTGCATATCTCGGATTCTGAAGTTCCTTTGCTATCTCGCGATCAAAGTCCAAGCCGCCATCATTTCTCACCCACACTATTGCAGTGCTCTCAAAGCTGTTCTCCCTGCTTTCTACGTTGCCCCCATCCAATCCATTATAGGCACAGTTGAATTATCTTATTAAATGTAAGTCTGATGACATTCTGTTTAAAACCTTCAATAGCTTCCCAATACTGTTATGACTAAATTATTAATTCTCAAATGGTTTAAAAATCTGCCTACCTCCCTAAACTCATTAGCAGCATTGTCTCCTCACATATTCTAAACTCTAGGCTGTCTAAATACTTTCCCTTATCTAGAAAACTGTTCCCTTTGGTTGAGGCCTTTACTCATGTTGTTCCTTTTTTTTAAAGTATATTTTTATTGATTTCAGAGAGGAAGGGAGAGGGAGAGAGAGATAGAAACATCATTGATAAGAGAGAAACATTGATTGGCTGCCTCCTGCACGCCCCATACCTGGGACCAAGCCTGCAACCCAGGCATGTGCCCTGACTGGGAATCAAACGGTAGCCTCCTGGTTCATAGGTCGACACTCAACCACTGAGCCATGCTGGCCCAGGCTACTCATGTTGTTCTTTAACAGAAACTCATTCCAGACCTTCTACCTCTTTCAGGCTAATCATTATCCCCACTGAGCCTTCTTGGACCCAACTGCATTTCTCCCAGGAAACCTCTCCTGACCCTTCAGTCTGGGTTAGTCTCCTCTGTGGCTTTTCTCTGTCACAGTCTGATCAAGCTGAATTATCTGTCCCTCCCCTGTGCAAGGCCTGGCACATTGCTTAAGGTACAGTAGGCTCCTTCTTGGTTGAACGAACAAAACTCAAAAAGCAATGAATGTATGCAAAAGAAGGCAACAAGAAAGACGAGAGTTCTCCTAATATTCACTCAACAAGAAGACAAGAGGCGGGTCTTCACTCCCTTTCTTTTATGCACCATTTCCTGATTTCATTTATTTACTTATTTAAATTTATTTATGTATTTATTTATTCTCCAGAACCTATGCTAAGCACTAGGAAAACTTATTTACCAGACCTGGCTTGTTGCTAATGGAGCTCAGAGTTCCCCTGGGAAGACAAACAGATGAGTCCTCTGCCTCACCCACCAAGGAGTTGTAGAAGACCTAGAGGAGAGTGATTAGACCATTTGGGTGAGGACCTGAAAGGATTCTTGGAATCCCTATTCTACAAAATCACTATCTGACTTAAATGCACTCATATCCCATGTTAAATATAACCCTTTTGCTGTGTTGGGGTCCAGCCCCAGCAGGTCCAGGGGTTCCCAAAGGTGTGGTCCGAGTCTTTGAAGAAGGAATGACACAGAGACAGCGTTCAGATGATCAGCATAGCCAGGTTCTCCCTTTATTGTCCTGTTACCTCTGTATTTATACCATTTGATCCTATAAGCATGCCTCTATAATCACATCATGGTATGTTTTGGGTAACTTTCTACAGTTCCTTGTTTCATTTCCATAGTTTCTTATCTGACCTTTGCCAAAAATCCCATCTCTATCTAGTTCTGTTGATTTTAATCCTATCCATTCTATTCCAAAGGTGTTATCTCCATTCCAAGGTCACTACTCTACTGTTCTGTTAAGCTACACGGAAGTAACTGAAGGAGATTATCCTAAGTAAAGATTATGTAGTTTAAGTGTGATTGTTCCTAGTAAAGGTGATTGCTCGCCTGGCACTTAGTTAAGGGGTTTTACTGATTTATTCTCTTCCTTAGTCCTGTTAATCCCTAACTCCAGGAAAAAACCCCCACCCGGGGAAACAACCTTTCTCGGGGAGGTGGTCCTGGTTAAAACACATAGCGTTAAGAGGGGGAGCAAACATGCCATATACACCAGGTCCCTTGAAACATATGCTGTGCAGATGTTTCTTCTCTTCAGCAACTGTGTCAAGCAGCAAGGGTGGACCAGCTTCCGGCATTGCTGTATGCCCTCTTCTCCAAGACTTGCCTTCCTTCCCATTACTAGCTGCCACCTAAATAGGTGTATAACTTAGGCCATGTTTGCATCAGCATCTTTCACACATCCCCCCAAATGATTGCTTAATTCTCTCTAGCTTGGAAAAATGAAATCATTGGATCCTTTGGGCAGACAATTTCAGGCAAAGGCCTTTTTCCCCCCATTGCCATTTTCCTTGTATCCTCTGAACTATTGCAACAGCTTCTTAAGGATGCCCCTGCTTCTGAAGCATTAATCTATTTTCCACACTACTGCCATGAGAAATGTGATCAGAGAGCATTCATAGACTTGTGGTTCAGAAATTTTGCATGGCCTTAAGGCTTTGCACCATTTAGTTCCATCCTTATTTCCAGCGCCAATGAGGCATCCTTACACCCCAGCCACATCACACTACTTGCCATGCCCTGTTTTCACTATGCTTTTCCACCTCTGACTTTTGACATGCTATCCCTTCTGTTGAAATTCAGCCATCTTTTAAGACCACTTTTAAAAATTATTTTTAATTGATTGATTTATTTGAGAGGGGCGGGAGAGGGAGAGAGAGAGAATGGGAGATCAAATTATTGTTCCACTTATTTATGCATTCCTTGGTTGATTCTTGAATGTGCCATGACTGGGAATCAAACCCACAACCCTGGCGCAGTGGGACTACACTCAAACCGAGCCACCCAGCCAGGGCTAAGACCACTTTCTTTACACTGCTTTCCTTGATTTCACCTAATTGGAATATATGTAACAATATAAAATAAGTGGGATCTGTTATATTGTGTACATCTACATATCATAAATGAATTTCAATGTAATTTTTAATAAATATAATCATAGCTGCCATTTATTAGCTTGAGCCAGACACATTAAAGCCCTGAAAGGTACATATTGATATTCTTGTTTTGTAGGAACAGAAACATGGCTTCACATTGAGGCAGGTCAGTAAGCCAGGATAAGTGGAATAGGGAAACAGACAGTTAAATGGTCAAGCAGTTTATAGCCATTTAGTAAATTGCAAAATCCTATTTTCCCTAACTAAGGACAGTTAAGAGTAAATGGTTTACACTTCTGCTCTCCAACCAGAGGGTAAATAGCTCAAATCTCCCTTCTCACAGAGATAGGCAGCAGAAATTCATTAGTGCCATTTGTGCCAACCACACCCAAGGACAATGAAGTTAAGAAAATAAACCAAATTTTGGCACATCAGCATAAAGCTGAGAAATATACTATTGAGATCCTCCCCTATGACCTCCGCTAAACTCCCAAACTTTAAAACCCTCAAGAAGAAGGACCCAGCACATGCTTTCCCTCTCTCGAGCTTTTCTCTCCTGAATCATTAAGAGTCCCCACGAGAGTTGCAACTGGGGGGCGGGGGGGGGGGGGGGAGAGGGGCGGGCAATGAGCAGTAGCAGTTCATACCAGGCTAACCCCCTGAACCTGTCTCCAAGGCCACCTTTTCTCTGACTTTTCAGTAAGCCAACAGCAACCCTACCTTCGTTCACTTTTTTTCCTATCATGTCTCTAGAGAGCCAAAGCAGCCCCACCAAGGCTCTCTCCTGTTGATTGTTGGCTGCTATTGATTGACTGATTGATTTTAAAGAGGAAGGAAGGGAGAGAAACATCAATATGAGAGAAAAATAACGATTAGTTGGCTCCCATATGAACCCCGACCAGGAATCGAACCAGCAACCTTCCCATGCATGGGACAATGCTCCAACCCAACTGAGTCACACCAGCCAGAGCCTGTTGGCTTCTTTTATCCTAAGCCCTTCCTTGTTTCACTATCCCCAGCTTTAATGAATATACTCTCAAAGTCACCTGGACTTGTGTTGTGAAATCTTTCCTACACAAAGTAAAAAACCCACATACTGTAGGCTGGCCAGAGGCAGACCCACTCTGGGTCTGGTTCCAGTCTGGTAACAACATAGCTATTCAGTAGTAAAGCCAGGGTTTGAATCATATACAAGTTGCCTTTATTAGGCTGGGGGAATGGACTACATTTTTTTTCATCATGATATTCCTCCTTCGGTGTGTAAAAACAAGGGGATGGGAAAGATTTATCTTGAATGCCTTTGACATCCACATGTACCTTTGTAAGGAGGTAGCTATTCAATGATCTCTTTTCTAACAGCTTTAGAAAGGACCTCTTGGGAAGTGCCCTGTAGACCAGAGTGTGAACTAATACAAAACATAATTTAAAATCGGAAATAGTAACCAGGGCTATTGCAGTGACCAAGACTCTCCTTGACCTAACTCTGCCAGGCTCCTCTAAGCCTTAAAGGCCCTGGCCTTGGGTTCTGTGCTTGACCCACTTATTCCAGTTTAGCCAAAATCTCCCACCCTGGGTATCTGACCACCTTGACCTG